CTCCTCCTTTTTGGAGGGAAACATCATTGCAGACTCTGATATTGCCCGCACAAGCTCTAGACTCAGACTGGATGGACAAGTACCGGCCTAGACCTTGCCTACCGCTACTGGGCCTCTAAAAATGCCAACTTTGTCTTCTTCTGCTCAGCCTCGAGTACCCGGCACATCTACTGCTACTGGGTGCGGTACCGGCCTACCTGCTACTTGAGTGTTTTTCCGCTGCAGCAGGTGCCGCGGGCCCCTGCCTCCGCTACTTGAGTGTTTTTCCCTGCTGCAACCCTCAATGCCACAGCCACAGGTAAGTACCGGCCCTACGGGCCTGCCAAACAAGCAAGTTCCCTTGCGGGTCACACACACATTTATACCGACAAGCACTCAGACAGGCACGCAGGTCACAAGCATGCACACACAGACAGACTTAGAAAACAGAGTAGAATGCGGGAATCTCAGCAAGGCATCCATTCCATCGGCAGAACTTTAGAAATCAGCAGTGTTCTCAGTCTGTGTTTTGACGGGTCATTACACTACCCCCCCCTCAAGAGTGAGGTCCCTTCGAGCGAGTAACTCAATCAGAGTCCTTGCATAATGCATCGTAAGCGTAGATGGCAAAGAGAGATCGGGTGTGTTCCGTAGGGGTGAGTGTAGCAGTGAATTTCAGTTGCTGTTCAGAGTTAATCAATCATTCATATGCGTTGACAACTCGCAGAGCACTGTGCAACAAGTCTTTCTTAGCAATCCATTAGAAGTCATTCAACGGGTGGTAAAGGAAATGTACTTTGTACTGTCTGTTTCTCCCCTTTCCACTATGCTCAACAATTCTATCTACCTCATGGCCACCATTTGATTGCGCGAGGAATCATCGATTCTCAATAAGGAAATGTCTCAGATGGTTCATACAGAAACAACTTCGATGCGTGAAAGATTGGATATGTGCGCAGGTGCGCAGGCACATTGATGGTGTAGGAAGGACCAAGGGAATCATTGCCTACTTGGTTCAACACCTTCCACGGACCGTAATACTGAGGAAGAAGCTTTCGTGATACGCCTTCTTCTTCAGAAAACTCAGACATCTTGACCCAAACATAGCTTCCCACTCTGAAAGGATCGGGCTGGCGCTTTTTGTTTGCATGTTTGATCATGGCACTGCGTCACTTCTCCATAGCTGTGACAGCAACTTTGAGCAAACGATCATACTTATCACTGTAGCCTGGCTGGCCAGGTGTCAGGCCAGGTGGCTGGTCAGGAAACAGGTAGGATAGAGAATTGCGAATTTGCCAACCGAGGTGCAACAGATTAGGTGTCATCCCGGTGGAGGAGTGCATGGAGTTGTTATACAATCCCTGCACAATTGGCAATTCCTCATCCCAAGAGTTCTGATCAGGCACAATTAGAGCTCGGAGAAGTTGGATCACAGTCTGGTTAACCTCCTCAGCCAGTCCATTGGCTTCGGGATGTCGGCCAGACGTCATCTTGAGTTTGATGTCGTATATCTGGGAGGTGAAGTCCTTCCAATCTGCGCTTATGAACCTAGTGTCCCAATCACTCACAAGAGTTTGCGGGGGCCCACACTGCAAAATATACCGTTTGTGGAATTCCTTGATCACCAGATCAGTTGGGGCGTGAGGTGGTAATGGAATCAGATTCAGAAACTTTGAAAAGCGGCCAATGATCACCATCACTTGTGAATATCCATTTCTGCTCTTCTTTCCCATGTCTGTGAAGTCGATGGAAAGAGAGTCACCCGAACCATCAGGAATAGGAAGAGGATACAGCAACCCATAGGGCTTCTACCGAGATGGTTTCATGCGTTGACAGACTTCACACTCAGCCACAAACTTTCGTGCCATTCCTTTCATTCCAGGCCATACAAACTTTTGCAGTCCAAGAAGTGAGTAAGGATCGGCTCATGGCTGGGTACACACAGTCGGTCATGCTTCCCGTAACGTCGGAAAAGTAAGCCCTTACACTCATGGAAATCAGGCTGACTGCTAGGGTCAGCCCGAATCTGCTCAACGATGGGACTGAGTTTCGGGTCCTTGGCAGTATGCTCAATGAGTTCCTCCTTCAAATTCTTACGGAGATCATAGGAACCCTTAAGGCAAGTCATGTACTCAGCATGGCGAGACAAAGCATCCGCAACGCGATTGTAACAGCCTTTCTTGTGCTTGAGCTCAAAATCATACACATCGATCTCATGCAGCCAGCGTGTCAATGTGGTTAAGGTATTAATCTGTGTCTGAATCCATTTCAAAGTCTCGTGATCTGAGAACACTTTGAAATGGCGACTCAAGAGTTAGTGTTTCCAATGATCTAGTGCCTCTCTCAAGGCATAGAGCTCTCGCATGTAAGTGGAAGCAGCTACCTTGTGACTAGGCTTGCGCTTGCTGTAATATTCAAGCGGACGTAAGCCATCGCCGTCATCTTGTTGCAGCACTGCGCCAATCCCATACAAGCTTGCATCCGTAGTTACTACGAATGTAAGTTTGGGATCTGCAATGCGGAGCACCGGATGACTCACCAAAGCCTCTTTCAACGCTTGGAAGGCTGTTATGCATTCCCCATCCCATGTGTAAGACACATTCTTACTTGTCAATTTGGACATCAGACGGGCAATGATAGAGAATTTGGGTACAAACTTACAGTAGTACGACGCAAGACCAAGAAAAGAACGCAACTCGCGGACATTGGCCGGTTGAGGCCAATTACGGATGACCTCAACTTTGGTTGCCTCGGGCTCTAGGCCTGCAGCAGAAAACCGATGTTCCAGCTAGATGACGTTGTCCCTGCCAAACTCAGATTTCTCCAAGTTGAGATGGAGTTGCGCATCCTTGAGGATCTACAGCACTTCCTCAAGGTGTCTCATGTGCTCCTCCATCGATTTGCTGAAGATTAGTATGTCATCCAGATAAACAACAACAAACCGATTAATCTGGTTGAGGAATACCTAGTCCATGAGACTTTGAAAGGTGGCTGGTGCATTCACGAGGCCGAACGGCATGACGGTAAACTCGTACAACCCATCGCGAGTTTTGAATGCAGTTTTGTGCTGGTCCGCAGGGTCGACTTCAATCTGGTGGCAGCCAGACTTGAGATCGATCTTGCTGAAGACCTTGCACCCACCTGCAGCATCAAGCAGATCATCAATACGCGGCAAAGGATATGCATGCTTTCTTGTGATTCTATTCGGTCCGCGGTAATCGATACACATCCGTAGTTTGCCTTCTTTCTTCGGGACAAACAGAACCGGTGCACCGAATTCGGATTCGCTTGGCTTGATCCATCCCTTCCCAATCATGTCATCGATCTGCCTTCGCAGCTCCTCCAATTCGCCTGAGCCCAGTGCTACCTTCTATCAACTCGATCTTGTGTCGGACCGGACACACGGGAACTCCATGCGGCTTGACCAAGACTTCAGGAAATCGGTTCAGAAGGTTGCGGATTGCTGATGGAATTTCCGGAGGTGGATCATCACTTTCAAGTGCAAGCATACCGAATTTGGACTAGAAGTAGATTTAGTAGAGGTAGAAGTAGTTGCCTCAGAAGTAGAAACGGCATGCAAAGTAGAATCATTTTGTACAGCAAAAATAGAAGGCACATGAGCAGGCCTAACAAAGGCTATATATATTTGCTCATCAACTTTGCGCCTGCGCCACTTTTTGCAGAATTGCATTGCATTGAGAAAAGTTACTTCGGACTCGTGCGGCTCATCCAAGAGGACTGGACGCTCGATTCCCATGGCATCTTTGACCATGAACTGTGAGTCCTTCCACGTGGTTCTCTTGCATTGGGCCTGCAACCAACCCAAGCCAATAACCGCATCGAAGGGGCACTGATCAAGGAAATAGAAGTTTAATTCATGCGTGATTGTGTCGTCTGCGTCAAAGGTAGTGCGCACACCTTTGGGTGCATGCGTAGAGGTGACAACCTCTTCGTTGCCCACTTGGGTCCGACAAGGATTCTGCAAGGTCACTTGCAGAATCCCCAAGCGTGCCTTACGAATGTCGTGCGGTCAGAAGTAGTTGACGGTTGCACCACAATCAGCCAACGCACGGATGTAATGGCCATTAATGTAGAGTTTCAAGAAGATTAACTTCGTTCTCCCTTGCGCGCGTTCTAACTTCATATGAGCCTAGCGCATCAACAAAGCATGGAAGTCAATTTCTTCCGACTCTACCCAAGGCTCCTTGTATAGGATGCGTATTTTCTCAGCCTTGGAATCAGCATCAGATAGGGTCTCAGGAGATGTTTGCTGAATGGGATCAGAATCCAGAGAAGGATTTGCACTTACATGTTCAGCCTCTCCATCTATTGAGTGTCCTGATGATGTCTCTACCCCCGTTGTTGGTTCCCCTGCTGCAATCTGAAACAATGTTGGACTGAGTGTCCCGGTTTGGTGCAATGCAGGCAAACTCCTCTTTTCACCATGTTCTTCCACTCACTTTCACTGATCCAGAGATCTACCCACGGTTTGGTGGCAGGATCTTCCGGTTTGGGTGGAATCTTTGCTCCCTTGGGAAGGAGAATGGTGTCAGTATTGTTCTTCACTGTGGTCCTCGGTCCCTTACTTTTGAATGCAATCTTCTTGAAGGCATTCATAGATTCATCATCATTTACACACTCAGACTCATGGGTTGACGAAGAGCAAGATGCCTCGCAGCCTTGCTCTTGATCGTCATCAAGAGAAGGATCCTCTGGGAAGGTCTACTCGTCATCCTCAAGTAGATCGTGCGGTGAAAAACGGTTGCTGCCCGGAAACCGTTTGCGGTCGGTGGTCTTTTTGCCACCCGATCCACCCGGGAGGTCTTGTGCCTCCAGTTTGACTAAGTCTCACATGAGGGTAAGCCAATTTGTATACGCGATGAGTCTGAGCCCCAGGCGATGTGTTATAGTAGAGGGGACTGTGCCTTTTATCACATCCAAGCAAGACTGCGCAGTCATTTCCAAGTCAGGAGTAGCAAAAAGTTTACTAACATACTGTTGCAGACTATGCATGGTGCTCGTCCACTTGCTGTGCTTGGCTTTAACTGTAGCATGTGGATCAGCATACTATTTAATCAAGAGTTCCTCGAGTGTGACTACAAGCGTAGCCTTCAGCCATTTGTTCAGGTCTTTCTTTTATAGCCTACTTGCACAACTTGGATTTCTAAGAATCCTCTTACTGCGGGTTCCACGTTGGTGCCTAGGACCGACGACTGAGTAACTGGGAGTGTCCCCAGCACGTCGAAGTAGGATCGCATGGAGTTGATCCAAGATTCGATGTCGTCCTTTCCGTCATACTTGGAGGGAATCTGCACCGCCTTTCTATCCATGTAAGGAAAGTTGCAGCTTGGACCAGCGGTTGCTGGGTCCGAACTTGGGACTGCAACAGTTCCAAATGCCCTGCACAACCACTTGCCGCCGCCGCAGCAGAATCAGCAACAGCGGGTTCTGGACCTGCTGCAGATCCGGATAGGCTGTTGGCCACACTCAAAGAAGAAGAAGAAGAAGAAGAAGAAGAAGAAGAAGAAGAAGAAGAAGGCATTGTTAGAGGGGCAAGAACAGACTGACACGCAGCACTAGAAGCAGGGTAAGCAGGCGGAAGGATACTTTGGGCTGGCTGCACATTAGCGAACTGTTGCAGCTGGTCACGGTGCTGCTGCGCCATCAGGGCCATGTCTTCTCGCAACTGCTTGAGTTCGTCGAAGACTTTGGCGAGTTGGCCAGTATGGTCCTCAACAGCCCGGACGTCTACCAAAGCCCGGAGGAGTGGAACGGTTTTCTCTCCCACCTCCTCATCGGTTAGGGCAGGCACGGTACAGAAAATGGCTTCATGAGCCTTTACCTTCTCCTCCCTCTCCTTCTCCTTCTCTTCCTCTTCCCTCTTCAATGCTTTCTCATAGAAGAATCGGTACTGCGTTTTTTCTGCCTCGGGGGCAGCGTCCATTTGCGGCTTCCATTTTGTTGTAGATGCCATAGTGGAGGATGAGGGTGTTAGCAAGTCTCTCAAGAGCGGTCCGTACTTCCTCACACTTCTGGGACGAACACTCCTCTTCCCTCTCCTCACTCCCTCAAGAGCAACTCTCAGAAGCTTCTCTCTCCTCTCTCTCTCTCTCTTGTTTGCGATCGTGTAGATGCAGGCATTTAACAAACCAAGTCAAAGAAACAACTTTGAAAACAATTAGAAGAGAAGGTAGAACTCCTAGCCGGAGCGGCAATTCATTTGGATTGGAGAGCAGTCAAAACAAAAAGAAATAAAGATCAGAGAGATCTGATCCAGCCACACAGTACGGTCCGACTACGTATGAGGTCCTCTCAAGCCTAGCCGGACTCAGCTCCGTGAAGACACAACAAATCAGATTCAAAGTCTACAGCGGAATGCAAGAGAGAATTGAGTGGTGCCCGAGGTGCGAGTCAGGCGGCGGATTATGCGATAAAGTCTGATAAAACGTCTCAGCGGAGATCCCCTCCGCAGCGAGTATCCTGATCCGAAAGCATAAAGTCCGAGTCCCAATCAGATAGAGCAAGGTAACTGACGTCAACAGATTTGGCCTGAGGGGCCCTTCTTGTTTGGGCCTGGTCCCACTGAGTCCCAAACGGTCCCTGTGGAGTCAGAACCAGGTCCTAACCAACAAGAGTTCCACAAAGACCTACTCTGCCCCTACCAAATTGAAAAACGAAATTTTGCCCCAGAAAGAACCTACACACTACAGCCGTTCAGAATGAAATAAACAAAGCATTGTAGAGAGATTTAGCATGGCAAGCAAGATACTCCATTCATTCACTCATCACGTGAGTAGGCAGTTCACACACCTCACACACAGTCAAGACTATGGAGGATGGAAGAAGAACCCAGAAAACCCCAACAGGCACTCAATTCCATGCACACACACATGGGCACCCTGGCGGCACGACACTTACCTGAGTGGTCAGGCTCTTGAGATGAAAGAACTCACCCCCCTCTCACATAGTCCTCCTGACCCAATTAGCATCCTCTACACTAGTGTCCTATCATCTAGGAGGGTCAACATCTATCCCAAAGTACAAAGTCGGATCCCCCGTCGATGTTGAAGATCAAAGCAGCAACTTGCAGTCCGTAGGTGCATATATGGCTGCCACCCTCAAACTCGCCTACTTGAGGGGAACCTAAAGTCGCTCCTCGTCTTCCTGGAAGTCCGGAATCAAGTTGTAGGTGCCCTTCACTGTGGCCTCTCTCAAGTTGCATCACGAAGTCCCACCTTGTGTCTCGCCACCACAAACATGCACTCAAACAACCTGGTCGGGTCTAGTGTCGACCCTACACGGCCCTGCCAGGTGGGAGCAGCTTCCCTTCACCACGCTGTCCCACTTAACCCTAACTTCCAGCCCTAACGCTAAGTGGTTAGCCCTTACCACTAGGGTTAGGGTTATGGCAGCAAAGTCAACTCTCGCCAGCAAGTAGAATCCGCTATGATACCAATGTTACGATCCTGGCCAATTTCAAAGTATACATTCATCTGAAAGTACAATGCCATCCAATTGCAAAAAGAAATGTGTGAACTTGAGAGGAGAGAGAGGGAAAGAAGAAGAATAGGAAGTAAGAAAGAAGAAGAAGATGATGTACTCCAGCATAGACCAATGACAAGGCTCTTCTTCTTCACCAACCAATCTCTTCCTCCTTATCTCCTCCCCTCTTATTCAAACAAGAAATAACAATAATAATGTTGAATGACTGAACCAGAATCAGTGTCCGAATCCCACTTCTACTGCAGGCACAACATGAGGTCCACCATAGCCATGGCCACCCTTCCTCTTCCTCTACATGCAGGCGGAGGCTATGGCGGACTACTGAGGCTTCAGCCTCCTGTCCAAAGGACAACCCAAAGCAGCTATGCCGCTGCCCCACTTCAAGGTCATCACCATGCAACTATGCTGGTGCCCACTCAGCCACCATGCCTGACTCTGTCCCGAGCTTCCTTGATGCGGCACTACCCCCACTGGGGCCTTCCTGATGCAGCGCCTAGCAAGGTGATGAAGATGGTGTCTACCATAGCCAGGTAAGTACCTCACCACTCTCCTCCTTGGTCCCCTTCTCCCTCCTCCTCCTATCGGTAGAGCTCCACCATAGCCAAGGTGGAAGCTCCCGGCTTCTTCCTCCCAGCAGCGCTGTAGTACCCAGCGTACTACAGCGCCACTCCAGCCAGCGCTCCAGCAGCGTGTTGCCAAACTTGCACACTGAAGAATGAGGCTGAGCTCTTGCCTCAGCCTCTTGATATAGCGGCCTGCTTGCCTCCTAGGCGGTGACTTCCAGGCTGCTCGGCCTCCCAAGCAACCGGTACCTCCTCCTTTTTGGAGGGAAACATCATTCCAGACTCTGATATTGCCCGCACAGGCTCTAGACTCAGACTGGATGGACTGGTACCGGCCTAGACCTAGCCTACCGCTATTGGGCCTCAAAAAATGCCAACTTTGTCTTCTTCTGCTCGGCCTCGAGTACCCGGCATATCTACTGCTATTGGGTGCGGTACCGGCCTACCTGCTACTTGAGTGTTTTTCCGCTGCTCCAGGTGCCGCGCGCCCCTGCCTCCGCCACTCGAGTGTTTTTCCCTGCTGCAACCCTCAATGCCACGGCCACAGGTAAGTACCGGCCCTACGGGCCTGCCAAACAAGCAAGTACCCTTGCGGATCACACACACACTCATACCGACAAGCACTCAGACAGGCACGCAGGTCACAAGCACACACACACATACAGACTTAGAAAACACAGCAGAATGCAGGAATCTCAGCAAGGCATCCATTCCATCGGCAAAACTTCAGAAATCAGCAGTGTTCTCAGTCTGTGTTTTGACGGGTCATTACACATAGAAAAATCTGCCAAGGAGATAGTGTCTCCAATGTACCAGCGCTCTATACAGGGCATAGAGCTCACGCTCATAAGTGGACTTAGCTAGTTTTTGAGATAGCATCTTTTTGCTCATATACTCGATAGGTCTCAACTTGGGCCCCTCCTTTTGCACAAGGACTGCGCCTATGCCATATTGGCTGGCGTCTGTAGTCATGACAAATGGCTTATCAGGATTAGGAAGTTTAAGAACCTCATAGTGTGTCAGGGCATACTTCAGTTTCCTGAAGGCCGCCTCACACTCTTCAGTCCACTCCCAAGGGGTGTCAAGAGTTAGATCTGTTAATGGGGAAGCCATAATACTATATCTTTTCACAAACGGACGATAGTAGCCCGTCATCCCCAAAAACGATCTGACCTCAGTAACAGTTTGAGGTCTGGGCCAGTCACGTATGCTGGCCACCTTGGCATCATCTGGCCTCAGTCCATCTGCTGAAATTTCATGACCCAAGTACAAGATCTTGGTGCGACCAAGCTCGCATTTCTCCAAGTTAACCTTGTACTGGTGCTGTCTTAGGAGACCTAGCACTGTTTTCAAGTGCTCAACGTGCTCCTCTACAGTCCTACTAAAGAGGAGAATATCGTCGTGGTACACGACGATAAATTTGTCTAAGCCTCTACAGTCCTACTAAAGAGGAGAATATCGTCGTGGTACACGACGATAAATTTGTCTAAGTAGTCATGAAAAATCTTGTTCACCACGTGCTGGAGCGTACCAGGTGCATTGCATAGTCCAAAGGGCATCATCACAAACTCGTACAGACCATACCTGGTCTGAAATGCGGTTTTGTGTTGGTCCTCAGGTCTAAGGGCAATTTGATGGCATATGGACTTCAGATCTATCTTGGTAAAGTACCGGCATCCCTGCACTCTATCCAAGAGGTCATCGATGTGGGGTAGGGGCTCCGCATTCTTAATGGTGATGGCATTGGGGCCCCTATAGTCAATGCACATCCTAAAGGTACCTCCCTTCTTCGGTACGAATAAGACTGGAGCGCCGTAAGGAGAGGTACTAGGCCGAATCCATCCCTTCTCTGTCAGCTCCTTGAGCTGGCGGCGGAGCTCATCTAACTCCGCAGGAAACATCCTATAGATTCGTCCTCTAGGTACCTTACTACATGGGACAACCTCTATTGTATGGACAACCTCCCTTTCTACCACACCCGTGGGCTCCTCAAAAAGGTATGAATATTGTGCGACGACTGATTCTATCTCTGGGGGTGTTTTAACGGCCTCCCCTTTCTCAGAGACAAAGACAAGATAGATGCCCTCCTCACGATTCTGCTTATAATAGTTATAGAAAGACGATGCACACATGCACCCGTAGTTTTCTATCAGACTGCTAGCTTTGAACTTCTGCAATCTAACAGTTCTACCATTGGGCAATTTGTGGATCAACACCTTTCTATCCCAGTCAAACTGAGGTTGCGCGATCTCGAGGTAGTACATGCCTAAGAGCATATCAAACGGCAGTTCGTCGCTAACCAGTAAGAAGATTTTATGGCTCACTTCCCCTCCTCCATAGGAGAAGGTACAGACTACGTCCTTGACATAGTCTTTTACCAACATTTGGTGCTTGTTGGCCAGCGTAGAAGCTACAATTCTGCTAAGCCGCTGCACTTGGTCCCCTAAGCGCAGTCTATCCACACAAGCACGACTGATGAAGTTCCGTGTAGAGCCTATGTCTGCAGAGGCGCCAACTTTGCGGCCACCTACATCAACCTCCACCACGAGATGTTCACCCTTTGGACCTCTACTGATCATCGCCCAAGAGTCCCTGGGGTCCTTCCCTGACCACTCAGTCTCTAACTCCGCTACGGCCTCAGACACATCTCTCGAATAGAGCGTCGGTGGGTCTCAATGTGTCTGCGGGGCGATACCTAGATCACTAGCCTTGGCCAACGTCTGAAGTGGGGAAGGCAACGATACCACTTCAGCGCGAGTAAGAGCGGCTAAAACTCCTACTGGCCCGAGGTGTTTCCCTGCGAAGTGCTCGCAGAAGCACCGCCAGAGTTTGAAGATAGTCCCACCACCGTTGGTGAGGCTACCCTCGTCAGGACTTTCTTGCCTCGACACGTTCGAGACGTGTGGCCATAGTTGCCACAGTTCATGCACGTGCCCCTAGCAACTTTGTCCCTCCATACCTCATATTCTAAACCAAATTTTACCCAAGCAGGTGTTCCTTGGTCGCCCTAACCCGTGGACAGTACTACCTTCTTCTTCCCGGTCCCCCTAGCGTTTTCTTTGATAGGTGCCACGACTCCCCCATCCGAAGTCTCACTGGCCCCATCTTGCTCTGTGTCCTCCCCAAGGTCTGGGAAGTCGTCTATCTCTGTCATCTGACCATCATGGTCGACGAACATTAATTAACCTTTCTTCTTCCAGTCTTGGGGTAGTCTCTTTCTCCTACCACCTCCCTGACTCTGATGCGCGGATCCCAACTTAGCTTGTATGTCTAAGGCTTTCTTGTTGAAAGAGGCGAAGATGTGCTGATCGACATAGGCCTCGTCTACCAGCTTTGTCCTGACCTGGTCCGAAACACCAGGGGCATGCTTCGCGCACCCCCCACCACGATTACGCTTGTACGCAGGGGGGGCCAGACGCCCTCCGTCTCTGCCCCTCTACTAAAAATCTTCCGTTAAATTGATTGAATACTTGCTTGAGCAAACTTTTATCTACAGAATGAGAAGATTCAGAATTTTGTTTTCATCATGAAAGAAAGGTGAATATCCAATAGGGAAAAAAAAAAAAAATCTGAAGGCAAACATCTAAGGAAATCCGTAAGGAGTACCTGCTGGTCATAGCGCACACCAGGTACCACTAGCAGACGTTCTACAGTGTTCGTCAGCTCTCTAACATTCTTGTACCGTCTGGCACAAAGACTGTTGATCGCGTCGGTGGCCTTTTGCGCCCCCTTGCGGGTCATGCCACCTGTTGTACACGGACCGTACGAACTCTTCCAATGTATGGGCCTGGGCCCAAGCATCAAAATTCTGACTGTAGCCCTGCTGCTGCACTAGGCCATTCAACCAGCGGGCTGCTGACCCCTCTAAAAAGGAGGCAGCCACAACAACTTCTTGCTCTGGCCTGGTAAGTTTGTGCCTGTAATAGGTAGGCACCGTCCTTACCCAGGTGTCCAAATCCTCATCCTTCTTCCTGTCGCCGGAGAAGGGCTTAGGACTCAGCAAGGGTATGTTGGGCATCCACTGCATAGGCTGCATGGGCCCAGGGACCTGTTGCAGTGGTTGCATGGCCACCGAAACAGGTTGTTGCACACTAACCTGGGCCTGACTTGACAGTGGGACTGTAGTAACCACTGTCTTCGATGGTACGGCTAAGACTCTATGAACCGGACCACTAGTTGCTACCGAACCACCTGGAGGGGGCATGCCAAACATAGGTGAGAATGGAGGCCCTACAGGCAGCAGCGTCACTAATGGACCTGCACCTGGAGGGGGAACTACAGCATACTGAGGCTGCCTCATCATGGGATGAGGAGCCCGTAGTGCAGCCATAATCTATTTCTCGCTTGCCACTAGTTCAGCCAACACTTCCTGCTGAACAGCCTGCGCTTCCGCCACACAGAGAAGCGAGTTACACAACACTCGTATCGCAGGACCAAGCGTTGACTCATCTAATGCTTCCAGTCTGCCTAGCTCCTCTCTTCTACTACCTAGTCTAGCTTTCCTCATGATTGTTCTCCTTCTCCTCTCTGCTGCCTCATCCAATTGCCGTTGTAGCTCACCCTGAAGTTCTTCTGCTTGGAGGATTTCATAATCCTCCGGCGTGAGTTGAGTCTGTTGGTTGACTCGCAAGCCAGCGCTCTGGCTACTAGACCCGTGAGAACCACTCTGACTAACTCCTGACGAAGTGGACTGTGAAGAGGTTTGCAACATGGTAGATGAAGTAGCCATGGTTGTACCGGTGCTAGTTGAAACTCTAGTCCTGGCACTATCCTCAACTACCCTCGCTCTCCTTGCCGCTGCTCTCTCTCTAGCCTCTCTCTGCAATCTCCTCTCGTCTCCTGGACCTAACTCCAAGAATGTGAAAGGTTGACTGCGAGCATACCACGAGTAGTCCTACGGTCGTCCACTAACAACTCCTCCTCACTTGTGCTTGCATCACTCATGAGCTACAGTGTGTGTGATCTAAACAAGAATCCACACTGAATCCTACCTTAGCTTGACACACAACCAATTACGAATCACCACTAATTTCCGTCGGACTGAACAGAAACAGTTAGGTGATGTAGTAACAACTAATGTCAGATCCTACAAGAAATATCACATATATTTTTAGATTACCCCAGAACAGATTGCAATGCAGCAAATAACTAATCTATCTGCAACTGTCTGTCAGTTGTTAGTCAAGTCTGTAACAACCAGATAATCAAAATAAAATAATATCTCCTGCTGGAGATGTACAATGGATGGCAGATTATCTAATTATTGCCACTGTGAACAGTCACCGAAATCCCCCCTCCCCCTGTGTCCTTCTTGAGTGGTTGCTTTGTGTCAACGTCCTGAGCATCTGGTTAAGCAGCGTGTTTGAAGGTGTGCAATTCGGCCCACCCTTGTGCCCCAAGTCAACACCGAACATGCCCGCTGTCGCGCGCGGCGGTCCCGCGCCCTGATGGGGAGCGCGGAACCTCACGGTCGTGTCATGCAGGATTTATTCCTTGAAAGAACAATAAGTCACCACTCCGACTGTGCGCGCATGCTATACCTCTCACGACGCCCTGCGACAGGTCGGGACGTTGCGAGGTACAACTCACCTCAACCTGAGGGGTTGTCACCACCCTTTGGTAGGCGTATCCTTGTTGAGCTACCGGTCCACATGCGAAGGCTTTTACATGCCTTTGTAGAGGTAGGTCGGACGAGGGTGTTTTCTCGATCGCCGTAGCATACGTATACGCGCGATTGAACGCCTAAGACTGACCCGTTTACGTGTCGGGCATCGGGGTGTTGCTCTCCCAGACCGACTTGCAATTCAGGTCGACTTGGCTGACGATCTTTTGTGCATACTAAATCCTATTCTAACTGAACTTAACCCGTAAATTATATATGTTATATAAAATTCTTTCAAATCGATACATACATGATGATACATTTCAAAGGTTGAGGCTGAAAAGGCAAGGAGATGTCTTTTACATTTTTACACAAACAGAGGTGAACATTAGAATGAACAGAGCTTTGACTTTGAAAGAGAAACAATCAATAGGCTCTTGGCCTTTCAGCAAACATCACAGATAAAGAGAAGAGATCCTAAAATAATTGCTTTACATTGATCCGACAAATAGGCACATGGCCTGTCAAATATGCATCAAAAATAAAAGATAGGCTCATGGCCTTCCAAAGAAACAGGATATGAATAAGGCTCTTTCGCCTTTGCCAATTGTCCTAATCTATTCAACATCAAAAGGGTAAAAGTCGGAAACCCAAACCAAATGTACAAAGGTTACGAGTCGACGAAATGTCTGAGTTGAGGCTCATGTAAGCATAAGCAATGTGAGTTGTGTGAATAACACGTGGTTGGTCGTCTTACTGACCTGCAGACAAAACAAAAGCATTTTGCAATCCTAACAGAGTCAACCATTCATTCACTTCTACACACATTATACCTACGCTTCCAAACCTTTCAACAAGACACTCTTTTCGACTCAATCATTCGAGGACCTCTTTTGATCAAACACAGACCCTTTAGACAATGACCTGAAAATGAGAAATGCCATTTAGTGCAGAGGTAGATGCAAAGTGTGGGTGTCAAAGGTGAGTGAGGGTTGAGTTGGCGAACCAACCTATTACCATAAGGCAACAGCATGTTGTCTTGTACAGACTCATAACGAGTCTCCTTGATTAAGATGACCTGCAAATACACACAGGTCACAAGATCTCAACACCTCCCTCACTATCGCCCTACACGAAGTTCAACGATGTGAACTTCAATTCTAACGGTGGACTATAAAATAGTCTGATCAAATGTAAGTATGAAGTAAGAAGACTCTGACAGAAGCCTTCACCTCATACTTACTCAAGCAGTAGGATAACTTACACATGAGTATCCTACCACTTGTATTAGTCTAACTGGTTTAGACTTAGACAGACCATGGGATGACCCGCACGGGAGTACCCCACTTCTAGTCTGTCAACCTAACTATCTAAGATGTGTATACGCGTAGAGACGAGTAATAGGATGTTCCTCACCCTGGAGCCTTATCCTATCACCTGTCCTACATATATACATCAATCAAGTATAGAGTAGCAGAGAGTGTAAAAACAAGGGTGTATAAGATGGGAGTCAAAAATGATTTTGTTTGTCTTCTTATTTTGTTTTTTTTTTTCTCATTCTTCTCATCTATTTCTCCTTATCTCCTTGTTCATCTGTCTTTTCTGTTTCCTTCCTTCTTTTCTTCTCTTTGTCTTTTCATTTCACCTTTCATGACCTCATGCCTAGATAACCCTCCATGCACTAGGACTTGCTCTAAGCCAGCGTGCACGAAGTCGACCATGACTCTAGCGAGGAACGGGTTTCACTTACACATATCTGATTGTGCTAGCAATCAGATAAGAATGACCGGTATGGACCGTATAGGTCAACAAATGATAGCAATAATAATAATAATAATAATAATAATAATTATAATAATAATAAAATTAATATTAATAATAAGAATAAGAATAATAATAATAATATAATAATAATAATAATAAAATAATAAATCGAGGCGAGTAATAGGATGTTCCTCACCTTGGAGCCTTATCCTATCACCTGTCCTACATATATACATTAATCACAGATGCCACATGTACCAAGGACCATCACTCACCCCCTCCTTTCGTAATCCTTTCTCTCCCCCTTCCGCCTCTCCTTCTCCTCTTCTTCTTCTTATTCTTCTTGTGCACCCCTTCTCACGAGATCGCCTTCCTCCCTCTGCGCATCCCCTCCTGTTGCATACCGTAATGGTACAGACCAGAACAAGAACCGACCTCTCTCACAGTACAGGATACCGCAGCGGAATGCCAGTATACCAATGATCAACCCAATCAACATCGCAAAACCAAACATACATCATTATCATAACATGGTGTGAAGGGGCCTGGCGCCCACACAGGAAGAATGCGCCAGTCCCCATACATACACAGACGAAGAGGAGGGGATCAGACGAAGAAGAGAGGGAAGATGGAAAGGTCGTCAACACCAAGTCTTTGATACGGTCTCAGATGATCCCTCGTCGAATGTCTTAGTCCCAAGGTCGAGTCCGAATCCAAATGTCATCAAGTCCCGAAGTCACAAATCTCTCTCTCTTTCTCTCTCTCTCTCTCTCTCTCTCTCTCACATACACACACACACACACATGCTCACCTTCTTTCTTCAGTAACCGCGATCGGTGGGACCACAGTTGGCAGGTAAGTATCCGCCTTGTTCTTCTCCTTCTTTTCTTCTCACCTTCTCCTACCTTCTCCCCACGCTCTCCTTTCTCCTCAACGCGCACGATTCCCCCCTCTGTTCTCCCGACGTGTTCCCATCCTCTTCGAGCTCTCTCCCTCTCTCTCTCTTTCACGCTCACACACGCACACTCTCGCACACAGATACGTACACATACATACACACATTAGCATACGCACGCACACTCTCGCACACAGATACGTACACATACATACAC